TAAGAGTCACAGAAAATACTGTGGCACAGTGCCACAAAACCAGGGTCTAGACCAAACAAGCAACAACTTCTCAGCTCCAACAAACTGAAGAGATAGGATATCTTGCAATGGACTCAAAACCTGAACACCAGCTACACCTAGAAGATACCTCAGAGAAGTAGTCATCACCTAAGCAACAATAACAATAACAAGCAACACCTAACAATAAAGCAACCCACCATAGGCAACTTATAAGCATTACCCCAGAATTTAAACTAAGAAAAAAAGAAAGGAAGAAAAAGAAAAGAAGACACTAAAGCAAAATGCAACCCCAGACATTCAGTTCACCAAAGGCAAATGCAGGAGCAATGAGGTGGGGTAATCTGGAAGCCCTTCACCAGGCAGGCCTCTCTAGAGTGGAAACAACAAAGCAACTGAATGAGGCTCTGGAAAGAATGAAATCAGAAACAACTTTCGAGGTAACTACAGAAATTACTAAAATGCACACCACACTTAGTGGCTTTAAGGCAGACACAGACAAAAAGACAGATGAGTTTAAGAAAATTATGGAAGAGCAGCATAGGAAAGAAATGGAATCCATAAAGCAAATTCAAGCTGATATCCAGGAGAATAAAAACTCCACTGAAAATATTTGAAGCACAACACACCAATGTGAGGACAGGAAGAGCAGGCTAAGCCAAAAGCTCATATGAGGAAGAAAATTATAAAGATCAGAGCAAAAAAACAACACACTGGAGACTAAAAAACAATGCAAAAATGAATGAAGCAAAGAGTTGGTTCTTTGAAGATTAAATAAAACTGACAAATCTTTAATTAACCTTATCAAAAAAAGGAAAGACTCAAATCCCCACAATTAGGAATGAAAAGGGTGAAATCACAACAGACCCTGAAGAAATCCAGAAGATCATCTATACCTACTTTGAAAACTTGTATTCTAAGAAGATGGAAAATATAGAAGGACAGATTCCTAGATACATATGAATTACCAAAGCTGAATAAAGAGGATATAAAAATCCTGGGCTGGGGTTATAGCTCAGCAGCATAGCGCCTGGTATGTGCAAGGTCCTGAATTCAATTCCTACTATCACCCAAAAAAATAAAAAAAAAAGACATACAAAATCCTAAATAAACCAGTATCAACCAATGAAATCAAAGGTGTAATTAAAAACCTATCAATGAAGAACAGCTCTGGTTCTGACACATTCACTGCTGAATTCTACAAGAAATTTAGAGAAGACCTAACACATCTCAAACTCATTAGTGAAATTGATAAGGGACACAATACTCCCAAATTCATTCCTGGAAGCAAGCATTACCCTGATACCAAAACCAGAGATAGATCAACTAAGAAAGAAAATTACAGGCCAATTTCCTAACGAACATTGATGCAACAGTTCTCAATAAGATACTGGAAGATTGCAGCAAATCATCAAGATTGTACACCATGATCAAGTGGGATGCATTCCAGGAATACAGGGATGGTTCAACATACATAAATCCATAAATGTAATACATCATAGTAACAGAGCCAAGGACAAAAATCATAAGATCATCTCAATAGATGCAGGAAAAGCTTTTGATAAATGTCCAGCACACATTCATGGATAAAAACCCTACAGAAAACTGGAATAGATGGTCTTTGTCTCAATCTGATATAAACCATCTATGCCAAACCAACAGCCAACATCATACTAGTAATGGACAAAAACTGAATTCTCTCTAAAATCAGGAACAAGACAAAGATGTCTACTGTCTCCACTTTTATTCAACCATAGTCCTGGAAATTTTAGCTGGAGCAATTAGATAAGAGGAAGAAATAAAAGGAATAATGATGGGAAAGGAAAAAGTTAAACTATCATTAGTTGCAGATGACCTGAGACTACATAGAAGATCCCAAATCTCCACTAAAAACCTGGTAGATTTAATAAGCAAACACAGTAGCATAGCTGGATACAAAGTCAACACTCAAAAATCAACAGCCTTGGGCCAGAGATTTAGCTCAGCAGCACAAGCACTAGGCCGTAAGTTTGATCCCTGGTACCAAAAAAAAAAAAAAAAACAGCCTTCCTATATATAAATAACAAGCTCATCGAGATAGAAATTAGAGAAGCAACACTTTTTACAACAGCATCCAAAAAATGAAACAGCTAGAAATTAATCTAACACAGGATGCAAAAGACTTCTACATTGAAAACTCTGAAAAAGGAGATTGAAGAGGATATTAGAAAATGGGAGAGCTATCCCATTTTGGGTAGGAAGAACCAATATAGTGAAAATGGCTATTTCCCAAACTGTTATACAGATTCAATGTAATCCAAATCAAAATTCCAATAGCATATCTCACAGAATTAGAGAAAGAAATCCTAAAATTCATCTGGAACCAGAAGAGACCTAGTGCAAAGGCACTTCTGGGCAACAAAGGCAAGGCAGGAGGCATCACAATCCAGACTTGAAGTTATACTAGCAAAAAAAAAAAAAAACCAGCCCTTTATCTTGGACAAAAGTGCCAAACTCATTCACTGGAAGAAAGACAGCCTCTTTAATAAATGGTGCTGAAAAAATGGCTCTACACGCACCAAAGATTAAAACTGAACCCGTATCTTTCACCATGCAGTAAGCTAAAATCAGAATGGATCAAAGATCTTAATATTAAAACGGAAACATTAAATCTGCTGGAAGAAAAAGTAGGTACAATTCTTTAAAACATTGGCATAGGCAGAGATTTTATGAACAAACCCCAATTGCACAAGAGCTATCACAAAGAATCAACAACTGGGATCTCATTCTACTGAGAAGCTTTTGCACAGCAAGAAAAACTACCAACAGAGTGAACAGACAACCCACAACATGGGAGAAAATGTTTGCCAGCTGTTTCTCAAAGGATTACTATTGAGAACATATAAAGAACTCAAAAACATCAGTCCTCCCAGATTAAAAGAATCAATCCAAAAATGGGCATCTGAGATGAATATACACTTCTCAGGTGAAGAAGTACAAATAGCAAATAAGTGAAAAAATGTTCAACATCACTGGTCATTCGAGAGATACAAATTAAAACAACACTGAGGGGCTGGGGATTTAGCTCAGCGGCATAAGCGCCTGCCTTGCAGGGACCCGGTTCGATCCCCGGTACCAATAAAAATGAAAAAGACAAAAAGAAAAAAAAAAACACTGAGATTCTACCTCACCCCAGGAAGAATGGCTACTATCAAGAAATCAAGCAGTAACAAATGCTGGAGGGGATGGAAGACAAAAGGAGCGACCGTCTGTATAAATCAGAGTGAAGGTTCCTCAAAACCCTAGGCCTAGAGGTCCCAGTAGACCCAGCTCTTCCCCTTCTGGATATTTTCCCAAAAGAACTAAAAGCATCATACTACAGTGATATATGCGCACCCATGTTTATAGCAGCATAGTTTATAGTAGCCACATCTTGGAAACAACCTAAATGCCCATCAACTGAGGAATGGATAAAAAAGATGTGGCCTTTTTATTCAACAGAGTACTACTCAGCCATAAAGAAGGATAAACTGGAGACTTTTATAGGTAAATGGATAAAACTTGAGAAGACCATACTCATAAGTGAAATAAATAAGACACACATGTAAATATCATATTGTCTCACTAGTGTGAAAAGCTGAAAGAAACATTTGTATGTGTGTATGTATACATATATGTACATAAAGAAATAGTTAAGATAGTTACACAACTGATTTCTACAAGTTCGCTAAAGGGAAAGATTTGTGTCAATACTGCTTGGGCAACTGAATGCAGATGTCTTGTGCTCTGGGTGAAGATTTTATGAACAAGATTTTATGATTTGGGGATAACAATGCATAATATATGTACCATCGTCACCCCGATTGAGGTGTTTTGATTTTTTTTTTCTCTTTGAAATAAAATGGATTTGAAAAAAATAAATAGAAAACATCAAAGATGCAATATGCTGCCCTCTACTATCAGAGGTGCCCACACATAGGCTTACTGGGCTCTTGGAAAAACTAACAATACAATAAGCTGACAGGCCACATCTAATATTTGTTCTTGCTCTTTCTAGGGAATACGGAAAATAAAGACCATGGATAGCATTAAATACATGTCAGATTAGTTTTTCTGTATGAATGATGCAGTTACAATTGTTATATTTGGGTCAATTTCTCCAAGGCCCAGCTTTTCCAACAGAAATGTGGAGTAAGAACTGAATAAAGGGGGCCAGGGATGTAGCTCAACAGCACAGCACCTGCCTGCAGAGCACAGGTCCCATTTCATTTCCCATACCAAAACAAGAAAACAAATAAGGTAATATATATTAGTGACAGCACAAAAGAGCATGTTGCACACCCAATTTCATCACCGTTATCTATAAACCAGAGAACAGGACAGATCATTAAATAAAAAGTACAAGGGCCAGGGGTTTACCTCAGTTAGCGTAAGCACCTGCCTGGCAAGCACAAGGTCGTGAGTTCAATCCCCGGTACAAAAAAAAAAGACATATGATTCACCAAGTTCTCAGTGGGCTTTTTATGGGGGGAGGTGGGTAATCCAGAACTCAAACCCAGTGTGCTGTCCATTCTGGACTAATGTTCTACCACAGAGCTACTCCTCTAGCCCACAATATTATTTTTTAAAGTAACCACTAGCACAGTCAAAAGGATTTCACTTTTAAAAAAAAAAAAGGATTCTGCTATTCTGCTCAGAAAAATTAACTTGTACAACTTTACAAGGAAATCATGCAATGATTTTGAGGAGAGAGTGGAATCTGCTATTCTGCTCAGAAAAATTAACTTGTACAACTTTACAAGGAAATCATGCAATGATTTTGAGGAGAGAGTGGAAAGATACAGCATTAAATGCAGCCAAGTATTCATCAAGCATGCATTCAATACTTCCATTCATACAACCAACAGTACTGTGCACCACATATCACCGCCAATTATGTGGAATTAAAGGTTTTTAACTGAAGATTTTTAAACAGATACATAAGAAGCAAAAGAAAATCTCACCTGGGTTCTGGCTATAGAAAGGTCCACCGTTCACCTGGGGCTGAAGGCCGGCCTGCGAACTGATGGAGGGTGGGCGGCGGTAGGGCAGGGAGCCCCCAATGGTGGGCGGTGTGTGGCGGGAGGCCGGCCTGTTCATGCTGTAGAACTGAACCGGATGGCCTGGGGAGACCAACAGAGACCGCAGGTGAGGAGATGTGCATGTGCACTGCCCAAATCATTCTCCAGTTACTGAATGTGACAGTGTGTGGTCCAATACATTGCTATCATAAAATCAACGCAAGAGGAAAAGTGTGCTCGGCCAGCACTGCACCAAAGCACAAAAGCAGGGAGATTAAAAATAAAAGGGAGTGGGGAGGAAAGGGGAAAAAAAGATCCAGAGGCATTATGTGCATACTGCAATTCCCTCCAAGGAATGGCATCACTGTGCCCTGCAAACACATGCTGATAAAAATTAAAACTTAACAAAACAGCAAGAAATAAACGAAACTAAGACTTGTGTTTGGCAAAATTACATCTAGATAGGTAACTAGTTAGCATTAAGATTTCACCGACCATGTATGCGGTTTCCAAAATCAGCACAACTAAATTAACTAATGTTCCTGGCCTTTGCTGTGGTCTGAGCGTTCCCCAAAGCTCTTCTGTATAGAACCGCTCCCTGGATGGACAGGTAGTCGGACAGACAGACAGGCAAAGCGGCAGTGAGGACGTCAAGCTGCTCCCCAGAAGAGACGGAGGGGTTCCTGAGGAGAAAGGGCACTCGGCCCACCCACTGCCAATGCCAATCTCTCTTCTCTCCATGCCTCCTCCCAGTGATGCCTGCCTCCCACAAAGCCCGGAGGAAGAAGGGCCCAGCCAGGCCGGACTCCCGGCCTTCACTGCGTACGTCCTGTTTGCCTGCAGAAACAGTTTGATCTGCTTTGCTTGGTTCAGTTTTGCTTTGTTTGGTTTTTGCTGTCCTGAGGATTGAACCCAGGGCCTTTGCACTGACTTACACCAACTAGCATTATTTTTGTTTTTGTTTTCTTTTTTAGACAAGGTCTCCCTATGTTTCTAAATTGCCTGGGCTGGGCTTGAACTTGAGATCCTCCTGTCTCAGCCTCCCAGAATGCTGACATTATAGGGCATGCATGATCAAGCCCAGCGAGAAGCAGATTTCTCCTGTTTATAAGTTAGCTCCTGATATGCTATGATAACAGCACAAATTGAACTGAGACAATTCCTTTCCTATAACAAAGCAGCTACTCAATGCTGGAACTAAACAAGGTAAGAATGATGCTGAGAAGGAAAAAAGAAAAATGTCTGACACACAATCTTACTCCAAAATAATATTGGTAGGTATAATACAATTATAATGTAGCAAAGAATTTTTTAAAGGAAAACTGTTTCAGTAAGATGTCTGATGACATAATTCCAAATCAAATATATTTTTATCCAAAAATACCCATCTCAAAAGTTAATTACTGTCTTAAAATTAGTTTATGAAAAAGCTAAAATACAGAGTGGATGCACATCATTCATCACACCTTCCCTGAGCCGTCAATTCCCTAACACAATTTTGCTAACTTTTTTTCCACACAGGCCATAGCCCCCTACTCTAACCCCACTCAAGGCCTTGTGCAAACCACGTAAGCATTCCAGCACTAAGCATCTCCACAACTCTTTTTTCCTACATGGCATTCTGAGATAGGGTTTCACCAAATTGCTCAGGCTGTCTTTGAACTCAAGATCGTCCTGCCTCAGGGGCTGGGGGTTTAGCTCAGCGGCATAAGCACCTGCCTTGCAAGCAGGCGGTCGTGAGTTCGATCCCCGGTACCCTGGCAGCTTCCAAACTGTGCCTTGGCTTTCCCTTACTTGGTCCCATGTACCCCCCAATCAGCTGAGGACCTGTTAGAGTACCAGAACACCAGGAGAGAACATTCAGCAAGCAGCAGACAGGGGCGGAGGAGATAGGAGAGCAGAGGAAGCAGAGGGGAAGAGAAGAACAGGGGAGGGCAAGGAGGGGGGAGGGAGGAAACCCTTCGGACACTCTGTCCTTTTGCCATGCTTACAGAATGTTCCACATCGGTAGACTGCACTGTGGGAACCCCGTCAACATGTAAAAGCTGGATCCACAAGGAGTCGTACATACTCATTTCACGATGTATTAAAATCTGCTACCCAGTGATGCACACGAAACCTGGAATACCCAAGCCCACACCTGACCCATTACCAGCTGCAGGCACTCAGTAACATGATCAACAGCAGGCAGGCAAGGCGGGCAGGCTGCAGTCAGCCACTGGGACTACCAGGCAGAAACGCAATACTGGCACTTAATAATGAAATCCAGAACAGACCAGGGTCCTTGAGTTAAAAACACTTGGTGATGATGCCAGGGATTTAGCTCAGCAACATAAGCACTTGCCTGGCAAACATAAGGCTCCAAGTTTGATCCCAGTTCCCCCCCACCCAAAATCAGTGATTAATACCACTGTGAATTTAATGCCATTAGATTCAGTCTAAATTTTCACTTAAGTTAGCAATCTGCAGTGGTTCAACGACAGTGCATGAAAGAAGCAGTATTTGTAACATTAGCATGGCATTTACCTTGTTTGGGGGTTTAGAAAAAACTGGCTAGTCACCAGAGACCTAACTACAAAACCTAAAATTCAAAACTTGCAAAAGAAAGTCAGGTGGAAGAAAACACATAAAAATTTATGACCACAGTTAAAAAGTTCTCACAAAATCACAATCCACAGAAGAAAAAAAAAAAAAAGACAAACTGTACATAATGAGTACAAAGAACTTCTGCTACTGGAAAGGCTCCACTAAGAATATGAATTAAAAATGAAAGAAAATATTTCACAAAATGAAAGAAAATATTTGCAGTTCACATCACTGATAAAGAATTCAAAATATAAAAATTCACTGATAAGGAAAAAAACTTACAAGGAAGATGGGGAATGTTTTGGGAGGCTGAGGCAGATGATAGCAACTGTGAGCCCAGCCTGAGCAGCTTAGCAGGATAAAATAAAAAGGGCTGGGGGTACACACCAGTACGAGAGCCTGAGGCCAGTGCCCAGCTCCAAAAGAGGGGTTGGCACCCCACAACAAACATCACACACCACCAGGGTAGCTGAAGTTAAACACAGAACACCAGGAACCAAGTGGTGGTAAGGGTGCAGCTAAAAAGCTCACACATTGCTGGTAGACACACAAATTTTACAACCACTCTGGGAAACCATCAGGCAGCTTCTGTGAAATTCAACATAGCTCATACCACAAGCTAGTGCACAGGTACTCCAATGAAATAAAACTGTGTTCCCAAGAAACCTGGATGTGAACTGTTATGGTGCTCAAAACTAAGGACAATCCAAATGTTCCCCAACTGGCAAAGAGAGATTCTGGTACATCACATGAAAGCACACCATGCAGAAATAAGAACAAAACACACAAACACACACACACACACACAACATGGCTACATCACCAACACCAGACCCAGAAAGCTGTGCAGCACATACTTGCATTTATATAAAACGAATGCAAAACAGGGGCTGGGGATTTAGCTCAGCGGCATAAGCGCCTGCCTTGCTAGCAGGCAATCCTGAGTTTGATCCCTGGTACCGATAAAAACGAAAAACACCAAAAAAAAAAAAAAAACAAATGCAAAACCTACTGAGGGGTCACAAGAGGCTTGACGAAGGCCTGGCCAAAAGGGAATGACAGATGCTCCTAGGATAATAAGACCACTCCATGTCTTCACTGTGGTGATGGTTACATGACTGTATGCATTTGTCAAAACTCTCAAACACATACACACTAAAAAGGTGAATTTTATCTTACATCAAACATTATCTGGTGATCCAAAGACAACTTTAAACAGGTGTGTACAGTGATACTCCAGAACTCTGGGAGGCTGAGAAGAGAAAATCACAAATTCAACCCCAGCCTGGGCAACTTAACAACTTAGTGAAAACCTGCCTCAAATTTTAAAATGTGGTGGTTCATACCTGTAATCCCAGCACTTGGGAGGTTGAGGCAGGAGGACTGCCATGAGTTCAAGGCCAGCCAGGGATACATAGTGAGACTCTGTCTCAAAAACAACAACAAAAAGTGAAAGAAAAGAGAACTGGCCAGGAATGTGGGCAAGTGGTACTAGGTTCACTCCCCAGTACCACAAAAAGAGACAACTATATGAAAAAGATTATATCAATATAAATCACTAAGACACTTATCTTGTTTTTTATTTTAAAAACTGTACTTTCAAGCTGGCCATAAGGGCACATGCCTGTAATCCCAGCACTCAGGAGGGTGAGGCAGGAAGCAGGGAGGCAGGAGGATCATTGTGAGTTCGAGACCAGCCTGGGTTACAAAGTGAGCTCAAGTCCAGCTTAAACTGCATAGCGAGACCCTGTCCTAAAAAAACCAAAGAATAAAAACTTTACTTTCTCATATGTGAATAAAAAATTATTCACATAACAAATATTTATTTGATGAACACTATGAGTCAGGCATCTGTTATTACATTATTATTGATTACTAAAATGCTGGCTCTTAGCTGGAAGCAATCTGTCCTTTCTGCAGTCAAGGTCAGGACATACTCTTTACTAACACAAAAACACAAGATTTTGAAAGTTAACTAGATAGTTTTATTGGAGACCACTATGACACAGCTCTGAGCAGAATTTAAAATGAACTGATTGGCTTTCTGTGTTTTATCTGTTCAGTCTTTTCTAGGCCTGGGCCTCTTGCCTGTCGATGGGAGCTGATTCCTATGAGTGACTCTCTATGAATCACTGGTCCCAGCTGAGGCCTGTAGTGGCCTGTGATGCCACAGAAACTTCAAAAGGCAAGGTGAGGCCACAGCTGAGGACACCTGCCTGGCTCAGGCATCCTTGAAGTAGATAGAGACTGTGGCTGCAGGTCTCTCATACCTGCAGTCTCACTCCTACCATAACGTAAATGTCATCCTGGAGATGAGATGGCTCTCCTAAACTGGCATAATTTACCACTTGGAAAAGTCTTTGAAGTGACTCCCAAAGTCCTGCTCATTTCCCATGCTTTCCTCAGTATCCCCGCTCTTCGTTTGGAGATGTAATAAATATGAGCAGTCCAAAGAGGCTCCTTGTCTCAGCTCTCATTTTTGTGGAAGCATCGAAAACTCTGCAGAGTGTTTTGATCCTCCCAGAGCCCTAAAATCATACCACTTGTCTCATTTATTTAAGCCCTTACTGTACATTCATTTGGGAGATTGGGGATCTAGGCCAGGTCCATGATAAATTTGGCCTAACAAGTTGTACCTTACTTAGAACAAAAAATAATGTTTACATCTACCCTCCACAGAAAGCTTTACAAATACTATCACAGAAGCTATTCCAACAGAACACTGTATAAAATCCAATTTAGCTAAAAGTGTCTATTAAACATGCAAACAGCTGGCTAGGAAAGCAAAGCTGAGTCTGGGAAGTACTTTGCTGACAAGCTAAAAAGCTGATGTACACACACACACATACACACACGTACGTTTTATAATAGATAAGAACCTGCTTACTAACCAGCTTCGAATTAACTGTTCAAATGTGTTTTCTAGCAATTGAGTGTTTTACGCCCCATCAAAACAGATTTAGTTGCAATTTTAAAACACTAAACACACCAGTCAGCTTTAATAAACCTGGTTAAGTTCACTGTGCAAGCTTTCAGTTTCCAGTGCTGCTAAGGTATGCAACAGATTCGGTCACAACAAACTTTGAGAGGCTCTCAAATCGCTATGGAAAATATCTCCTGTAAAACACACCTTGGAACTTTTATAATTCCTTAACCTGTAACACTTCTAGCGACAATTTCTCAAAACCGTAGTGAAGATTGCTCCATATGAAATTCTCAAGCGTTAAACAAATGAAATTCAATGTTTTTAATATAGCTGTACTATCCTACTTGAAAAATGTAGGAGGAAGTCCTGGTTTTCCCAGGATACTTACTCCATGGTCACATGCGTTTACAGTCATGCATTATCCGACCCCTTTCCACAAACACAGTGCGGCCACAGTGCACCCCCCTAAGATGCCGTCCCTGTCTGGTTCCGTGCACCAGCCAGGACTCACCTGCGGGTGGGTTGGAAGACACAGGAGGCGCTGCAGAAGTGAAGCTGTCGGCAAGGGTCTGGGCGCCCCCAGCAGCAGCGTCCGGGGCGGCCGAGGGGACGGGGGCAGCGGAAGGGGCAGATGGCATGGGGGGCGCGCCTGCAGGGGCGGCACCGGCGGGGGCTGCAGGAGAGAGCGGAAGGGTGAGGCAGCCGCTCCGGCGGGGGCGCGGCGCCACCCCGAGGAAGAGGGGCGCGGGCAAGGCCAGCGGCGACTCCAGGCGCACGCCGCTTTCCTACCTCGCCCTACCCTCTCCTGTCCCAGCCAGGCCAGGCCAGGCCAAGCGCAACGGACCCAGGGCCTCCCCGCCTCCTACATCACAGAACCCCGATTGCAGGACAGCATCCCGCAGCTCACCCCCAAACGGAAGGCAGAGAGGGCACCGCGATAACTTACCCGGGAAGACGCTGGGAGGGGACGGCGTGGGCACGGCAATGGGGACCCCCACGCTCCCGCTGCCGCTGTTCTCCCGGCTGCTGCTGCGGCTGCTCGGGTGGCTTCCTCCGCTACTGCCGCTGCTGCTGGGAGACAGAGCCGGGGTGAGCGCTCGCACCGGGCGTCCGGAGGTCCTGCAGAGAGCACGACTACACAGGGGCACTCGGGAGCGTTAGCTCTGCCACGAAACTGGGGGAACGCTGAGCTCGTTAAGCTTGCTTTAACATCTTTTAGTAAGATGTATTAAGGAAACTGACAGAGAAAAAAATGCTCCATGAACGTAAATCAAAAATGCTGGAGCTCAACATAACAAAATACACAGCATCTCTTTATATTCCAGTCTGTGCCTATCTGAAGAAACATCATAAAAACATTTCCCTCAGCAACTTCTCTAAATTTGTAACCGCTTGTTACACTACCCCAAACTGGTACTGTCAGGTATAGTTTTTCATCTGTAAAGTTCCACCAAAAAACAACTTGAAATTGGCCACATTTGGTGCATAATTGGTTTGCAGATCAACTGAACGATCGTCTCGGTGTGAAGCCTGACTGTGAGCAGTGTGCCTGGTGTCCCACTTCCTGACTGCCGAGCCAGGCGAGGGTGGGCGTCAGAGGCCGTGCGGGGGCGGAGTGGGGGAGAGCTCAGACCAGCACGGGAGGCGGGCGGGTCGCGGTGCCGGGGCAGCGCGCTCGGCGCCAAGGCGGAGGAAATACCTGTAGGTTCGATTTCTTTGATTGACAGAAGCTGTCCTCACAGGGCTCTGCTGCGAGGGAGCCGTGTTACGGGTTGGGCTAGGAACGTAATCATTTGGCACCACTGGAGGACGCACTGGCTCCAGGGTGCGGTAGGGGGAGTGCCGCCTACAAAAAGAAGAGCGCACGGATGTGTGGTTAAGCAGTCCCCAAGCTGCTGCAGTGAACGCGAGCTGTAATCACACTCGGACACCGTGCTCGGACAGGTTACCAGGTTCAGGCTTTCCTGGGGTCGCGCCCGGCACCGCCAGAGTTCTGGTGCGCATGCGCTGTCAGCTCTCACCCGTCAAGCGCGTCTCGCTGGGCTAAAGCGATTTGTCCCTGCATCCTGAGAGCTTCAAGGTTCCCCACCACACACGCCAAGGCTTTCGGGCACTGCCTTCTCCTGGGCTGCTTCAGTCCCGCACTTTCGTTGGTCGCCGCCCGGCGCCCTGCGTGAGATCACTGATGGGGAGCCCCCTCGCCCCTCGCTCCTCGCTCCCTAACCGGGACGTTCGAAGCCGGTAAGACAAGTCAAGATTTGGGGTCCACAAACCCACACTCAGGAGTCAACACGAGCCATAGAAAGTTAGCTCAGGTCTTCTTACAACACTGAATGCACAGGACTTGAAGTCCGTCTATACACAGAAATGTCACCTTCCACTCTCACCACCACATTCTCTCAACTTTGACCCTGACCTCTTCCCTCTTTCCCTCCTCAGAGTCTGACACTTAGAAAAAGAGAGAAGAAAATTCCCAAAGACCACCTGAGCAGGCGGGAGGGTGCGCACCTGTAGTGTCAGCACTTGGGGGCCGCACCGAGCCCCGCAACTGCGGACCAGCCTGGGCAACACAGCGGGACCCAGGCCAAGAAAGTGAAAACACCCGAACCCTTGGCCCACCTCACTGCACTGTAAAAGGCAAGCCAGACGGTCGTGCCTGACATGTATTTCCCTTTTTTCTCAATTTCTCCTTTTAAAGGAAGAGATTAAGAAGGGTAAGAAAGCAAATATAGGATTATAACAGAAAATAAGGTGCATATGGGAACACTATTAGTTTTCATCTCTTTTTAAAGTTTACAAATTCTTTGTGACAGTGATAAATATAAAACATCTGGTCTTTCAAAGAATCAAAACTAGGGGCTGGGGATTTAGCTCAGCAGCATAAGCGCCTGCCTTGCAAGCAGGCAGTCGTGAGTTCGATCCCTGGTACCGATAAAAAATGAAAAAGAAAAAAAAAAAAAAGAATCAAAACTGGCATCTCAAGACGTGAAAACCAGAGCTGTGTTCTCTCTCAGTAAGGCTGGCTTGTTCCTCCAAGAGGCTCCCGAAGCATCCCTGAGATCCCCCTCCAAGGGGCTCCCAGAGTGGCTCTGAGACGCCCTCTGCCCTCCAAGCCCACTCGATACTGCTCATTAGTTTTCAGCGGCAACGGGACCCATGTAATGCAAGCCACTTCTAAGTCTACGACCCTCTAAGTCTCCTCACATAAATGCAATGCATACTTTGGTAATTAAAAAATAAGAGGTACCAGATGGGATACTGGATCAAAGAAAAATAATAATAAACAATGTCGGGACTCTGGATTTAAAATACCAAAACTGTATGTCTGAAATTTTAATACGAATATAAAAACAAATTAGAATTTCTAAACATTTCTTTAAATGTTTAGACAATGCTTCCCAGATAGTAAAAATGCTCTATTTCATCTAAGAAGAAAAAAATCTTTCTTAATTGAGAACTGAGTGAAGGAACAAGGAACAAGGACAGCAGTTGAAGCCTGGGAAGTCCAGCCATGACCGCCACTCCTTAGTCAAAGGTGCTGCAGAACCACTGTTGCCCAGGTAAAACACATATGAAGCTATAAGCAAATCTTCAAAATCTGGGAGCAAAACAAAATTTTACTTTATTTTATTAGAGAATAAACAGATATCTAACTAATATTTTGCTTTGGTTTTGTTGGGAAGTTGTTTTGTTGGTGGTGGTCCTGGGGTCCAGGACCTTCAGTAAGCAGCCCAAGCTGGGTTAGCAACCCTCGTGTTTCAGCCTCCCAGAGTGCTGGGATTACAGGTGTGCGCCACCATACTAAGCATCTTGATTTAATGCCTAACAAAATCCAATAGGCACTATACACACAGTACAAATGCCAACATTCCACAAAAAAGTAGCTCCTCTTGATCTCCCTACTCTCACTTCTGTACTACTCTACTCTCTAGCAGCATCATTCCGCCTGAAAATCAAGTCTGTTTAGTCCACCAGAACCTTCCTCTCTATGCTAAGCAGAAATTTTCTGACCACCTCCAATAAAGTCATCCTACTCCTAGGTGATAATCATTTTTGGTGTTTGTTTCCACTGTCCTAACTGTAATTTCTCTTCTAACTTTATCTTCCTTTATATCTTATTTTTGTTGTCTTCATCTAGAGTGCTTGATTGGGTTTTGTTTGGGGGGATTTTTTTTCTTTTTTTTTAAATTTTTTTGGTGGGGGGCTAAAAATAGGATTGCCAATTTAAAACTTTTAGTACATATTATGAAGCCAATGTTTATCAAACATTTTGTCCTACACAATCTTTAAAATCCAATTTGTGGTACAGTAATCCTGAAAAGTTGACAGAGGACAAGTATTACCCCCTTTTTACAGATGAAAAAACTGAACTGTTGAGAGGCTGAGCATGCAGAACAACAGAGCAAACAGCAGAGGTCAACCAGAGTGTTGGTCATCAGGCTTCTGGGTGGCACATTCCGCTCTGGTCACACATCCTGACTGTGATACAGAAGCTAATGATACAGTGCTATTTAAGAAAAAAGTCAACTTTTTGTGTTGACCACTTCTGCTAAGTCAAATCCAGAGCCCAATTCTGTAGCACCAAATCAAAGCTTAACAGTTCTATAACATGGTGTACAGAATTTTATCATCTATACAACCTTCATTGAGAAGGATAATAGAAGTTCACAATTTTGCAGTATCAAAAGTACCACAAAATTTTTCTACAATAGAGAAATTAAAATTAGACTATAGTTTACAATAAGCCATAAACTTATGCTTGGATTTTATCAATTTTAAATTCATTGGAAAAACAATTTCTAAACAGATCTTTTTAAAGTATAAACATGTGCTTCCCAGAAAAAGGTTATACACACACACACAAAAGTAATTCTAGGAAGAGAATGGTCTCTCTCAAATATTCAAAAATAACTGAAACCTATGTTGTGTTCGTTCTTAGCTTGTATTACCCTTAGTGACATACTCACCCAAGTGTCCCCTTCCCTGACACCGGGGGGCTGGGCGGTTTTTGAGTCGGAGGCGTCGTGCGTGGAAGCCCGCCCATCTTCATGTTTTGTGTACTCACCTAAAAAATTTTGAGGAAAGCTCAACTTGTATGCAGTGAAATCAACTGGCAATTTGGGGGAACTATATAACAAAGGAGGTTTAAATATAGGGAAAAAACTAGAGGCCATGCATTTCATACGCGATTTCTACTCTACTGTTTTTCAACAGTTGTACTCAAAGGACTCTTCCTAACGAAGTATTTTCAAATAATTATCAACTTGTATGCAAAAATTTATTTGCCATTAGGCCATCACACCAACAGATCACTGGTTAGAGGATTTGATTCAACTGAAATTAAGCAGGATAACTATAAAAATTTTAGTTTTAAAGTAACTCAATCAGAAACAATGAAGCCTTTAAGCAAGTCATTATTTTTAAATAGCAAGTATACCATGAAACATTTCCCAAATAAAAATATGCACTGTTAACTAGAGAATACAAACTGCATTATATAGAGAAAACTGCCTTGTTTGTGTTGTGGATTGCCCTTACAACAATTCAGTGTTCTCTAGTGTTCGCTTATGTGGAAGTCACATACCTGAAAACTGCTAGAAGTTCCCTAAACACCTGACTCAGACAGTAGGGCTGAAGTATTCTGCTCAGCTGTGAACTTCCCTAGGGTCACTGCCCATGCCTTTGTTCCAACAGGAACTGAGCAACTGTGGCTACTCAGGGCCATGGGGTTAATTCAGGCATGAGAAAGGCACAATACAGTCCCTAGATCAGACCAGGAGGACTCCACTCACTACTGATTCCTGACTCAAACTGCAGGGTAAGAAAGATGGGTCATCTGGAAATAATCATGGCACCACAGGAGTATGTCAGCACTCAGACAGCAAGCCCTAGAAATCTCAGTGTCTTATATGGAACTTGAATATAATCTTGGGTTGTTTGAGACTACCAAGGGGTTAAGTCAATGGTCACCAAAACGCTATTCTAAGCCTCTAATATGCTGGATTGTCATCTTCAAAATATACTTCAAAAAAGGATATCAATTTTCTAATAATAATATACATATAACAATTCAAATAATACTTGCAAAATGAAATTGAAAGATACTACTGAAGACAGAATATATGTATAATTGTAATTTCAAGATATAAATTTTTAAAAATAAATCATAATTATATGCGGAGTATTATAGCTACCAAAATTAACTATGGTTTCCATGGGATTTTTTTAAAGTACTAAACTTTGTTATTTGAACAAGCAAGAAATAACATATCAAGAAAAAATTCTTCAAATGAATAGCCCAGTGAACAAGTTGTGTGTGATGTTAAAACAATCTTTAATGACAAATGATACCTTTGAAATGTCAGTATTTTTTAAGTGAAACATTTATCTGTAATCCTTTTGTTGCTTTTGAATAGAACCAAAAACCAATCATCAAATAAGAATGGAAATTAGCTTACCCTTGCTCTCCCCCCTCATTAATAAGCAGAGGGTATACTAATTATACCTTAGAATGAAAATGCCTAAAGTTTTTTTTTTTTTCAATCCGTATCGGGAAAATTTCCAGATTACTGGGAAAAATAACCCATGTAGCTTTTAAACTGTATATCTTAATTTTATGATACCAGAAGATTTTAAAAGTAGTACCCAAAGTCCTTTAAGCTCAACCTCCAACAACATAAAACCCAAAAGACTTACTTTTAAGTGATGAGGGAGAAGTGAACCAAACACTAAACTATAAATCAAATTACTAGAAACAGGAAGGAAAAGAAACCAAAATAGATAAAGAGTAAAGACAATTTTATTCTATATATGGGGTAGCTAAAATATTTAAAAATAACTTTCCAGCTCTGGTTTATGTTTCAATATGTAAAGTGTTTTTTGTTTAAATTGCAGTATCTTCTATAATCCACCTCAAAGGTAAGATGATCAACAGTCTTTGAATAAAAATCTGGTAGGCAGGTTTTGTAGTATGTTCTATAATCCACCTCAAAAGTAAGATGGTAACAGTCTTTGAATAAAAATCTCGCATAAATATGAAACTCACTCACTACATTTTATGATCTGTCGAGTCCTCCAACTGTTTGGTCAGTGGCCTGGGTGAATGATTCAAATCACCTAGGAACTCAAGAGTTCCTGTGTCACATCTAATTTTATACTTCACTGACACTGTCATACTTTACTTTTAGCTAAAAAGTTCTTCAAACATTTGTGAAAAGTATGCTAAATAAAACAATATACCATGCAGAATATAAATACTGACTGAAAAATGGAATAAATGCCAAGTACAATGAATTTCTTTTTAAGAGGTAGAGTCTATTATAATTAAACTATAGTCCAAACCTACTTACTGAGTAGCCATCGTGGTCCTCAACACTATTTTATGGGAAGTGTTTAAAAGAAAACATTTCCTGACACAGAGCAAAACACAAGACTGAATTGTGCAAGTGCAAAGGGGAACTTGACACACGTTTACGTACATATTCACATACTATAAACTCAAGACAAAAAAAAAAAAAATAACAAGACTGGAACCACTGCACAACAATAATTCCTCTTGGAACTTTAAAACTATCAACCAAAGGCCAGACACAGTGCCGAGCCCCTACACTCCCAGGCACACAGGAGGAGGGGAATGGGGATCACAGAGCCCAAGGCTTCAGAGCCAGCACAAGCATGGCAGTGTGGACTGGGTGTAGGGCAGGGATGGGCCTGGGTGGAAGGATGCTGGGGCACAATGATCACCTGGCACATAAATGTCCAGTGATCAAGCTTGAGTCATGAGCAGGAGTGCTCACCACACTGTCTAAAGTGGGTTAGAAAGGAGTTTTCGTGACTGATTTCAACAATCTTCGCCTTAGGTGCTAGTCCACAAAGCAGAAAGTCATCACAAGCCACGTGAAGCAGGTATCAGACACAGGAGGAACGGCAGGGAAAGTTTCCTACTCTCCCTACTGCAGAATACCTCCAAAACAGAAGAAGTGCTTCGTGTAAACCATGAAGGTACGGCCACAGCCTTCATACTTGCCCTCGAGTCTCAGTACTAGAGGTAGCCCTTTCACGGCCAAAGGTGGTCTGGTCTCTACCCATTAGGTTAATGATTATGCCTTCACACTTCTCCTCCATGGTGCCAGCTTTTCTGCACCATTCTTTTGGTGCATTCAAGACCTCCTTGAATCTCCCTGGATTATACAGTGTTTCATCAATAGCAGACTGCTCTCTAGCAATGATTCCTTCAGTACCATCCAGGGACACCACAGCTGTCATAATATGTGTAAATAAACTCCCCAGGATTTTGCCTAAAACACAAAATCGCCTACAGGAGCATTTTTCAGAACATGTCCCCATCAAAAGACAAGTGCCAGCGGCTGGGGATTTAGCTCGGCGGCATAAGCGCCTGCCTTGCAAGCAGGCAGTCGTGAGTTCGATCCCCAGTACCGATAAAAAAGAAAAAGACACACAAAAAAGGACAAGTGCCAATGCCACATGATGCTCCTTACAAATGATACCGCTTTTTAGCATCCTACAAACTTGAAGCTGTTGCTGTCCAGTATCCACTTCACAGATGTCATCAACTCTGCTCTGAAATCTTGCACTGGAAGATGACCTGCTGCTACAGAACAGTGACAGACACTTGCTAACACTGTACTGCATGAGCAGGAAACCCACTGCAGATCCCTGAGAAAGGGAGGGTCAGGGGAGGAAGAGGGGAAGGAGCAGGTAAACAGATGTGAAAATGAATGAGATGTGTTATACGCAAGCACCCAGATCCCAATGTGAACATCACTGCTCTGTACTGCAAATATATGTTAATAAAAAGGTGGATGTTATACAGCCCTCAATTACTAACTACCTATAAAACTAAGCACAAAAATAAAGACCTTCGGGGAAAAAAAGTGTGGGAGACACAATAGCTCAGAAAATGAATGACCACAACTGGTATTTTTTAAAACAAAAAATGATGTCTACAAATTCTATAGACATTACACACACAGAGAAATATCAATGTGGGAAAAAACCATAAAGGGAAAAGTTAATAGAGAAAATCATAGCTGAACTCTAAGTTTAAAAACAACAGAATCTGGGACTGGGTGTTGTGACTCAAGCATATAATGCTTGCTTTGCATGCACAAGCCCTAGTTCAGTCTCCAGCATACACACACACACAGGCACTGCATAGGCTGTGTTTGTACATAGACTGGAGGATGAAAGGACACTGGCCAAGTGGGCCTAGACCTCCATCCCTGTCCAGCACTGCAGTCCCACCCAGTACCTAATTCTTTGGGTTTCTAGAACAGAGCAAAGATAGTAAGGCTTTCATCTAAATGTGAAGTTACAGGGTCTTACCTAAGCGTAACCGTGTTAGAGCTCTCTCTGAGTCCCTCAGTTGGGCCAATTTCCTACATGGAAACAGATCTTGAACCCAGAAAGATCAAGAAGAAATCTTATTTGATCCACTAGATTCAAGAAGGAATCACAGAGGGGCCAGAAAGAAACAAGTATGGAATAGTGATGTGGGCAAATGTTCTGGACCTTAAGGGTAAAGGGCTTATCTATTTTTATGTTTTCAATTAATATTTTCACATACTTATAGTGGAGAATCACAAGATAACGTGCCTTGAAAGGAGCACAGCTGTCTCCATTCTGGCTACGCCTGGCCCTGTTTCTGTGCACTAATACACACAGAGATGGCCCAGTTCTGTCTTTATCCCCTCAATGGCTTTAAACAGTGCACATGGGCCTAGCCCAGGTGCTGATGTGTGGCCTCTAAAGCAATGGACTGGTCAGTGATGCCCTGCCTGTAGTTCCCAAGTAGTCTGCGAGATATGCTGAGAGACACCACACTGTCAGCTGAGAATGAGTCTCAAGCAAAGAGGCTGTGGCTTCTCAGAGTGTGAAAATTACACATTGAAACTGCAGCACCTACTCCAAAACACTACGTATCACCCTAATCTGTGATATACAGATTACTCCGTGTATGTGTGTCTTTGTCTCCCCCTCTCTCTCCCTCCCCACCCCCCCATATTGCAGAGGTGATCTCAGGACTCCTACTCAGCCCAGCACACAGCATCCCTACTTTCCAACACTCTCACAGTCACTCATCCCCCAAGCCATACCCCTCTTCACAAATTAACAACACCTGGGTTTGGCCCTGGGTCGAGGCCTTTGTTCTGGTTAGCCATGATTCTGGCTGAACTTAGGACCCCTTGTTACAGGCCTCAGTGTCTTTCTTCTCACTGGGTTGCATTGGCAGTGATAGACTGGAATTAACTCACTAGAATTCCAGTAACTTCTCCATGGGATCACAAATATAGATTTCTCTGGCTTTCCACAGTTTTCACTGTGGGGGTCAGGGCGTCACTAACCAGCGTCAAGACACAAGAGGTTAGAAGAGAAGAAGGGGGGTAAGCCCCACGCAGTCCTGGTTTCATTGACTGCAACCGTTAAGTCTCTGCACAACCCCACAAGCCTAAATCGCCAAGACTGGGCATTTACAGCCAACCTTCCCACCAGTGGCTCACAGCACACACCTGCCCAGCTCCTCTGGTCATGTTCATCGACCAAAACCAAATAAAAAGCCTATGCCCCGGGTTAGGACAAGGGAGTGATTCGAACTCAAGTGGCCTTGTGCTTGGTTACTGGTTTCTACACAGAAAATGTGACCAACACCAAGGCATCAGAAAGACAGAACACACATTGAAAAGGAATCACAAAATTCAGCTAAGAAAAAGAAAACAAAAAGAATGCACATTAAGTTTGGTGAAAATAATTTTAGTAATGTGTTTGACAAGCTTCTTGAATGTAGCTGAAGTACTTTTACTACAATCCTCCAAAGTACCAAAATGAAACAAATTATTATTGAAACAAATTGCAACAAGAAAAAGAATTTCCACTTCCCACAGCACCTATTCTCTTGCAAGCTGCTGCAGTGCGGGAGCGCAAACTGGGCCTCACAGGCCAAATCAGCTACCCCAAGCAGCGCCCAGCCCCCGCTTAACCTCCACCTAACTGTCGACCACCGTGAGCTCCGGATGTTGTGCCAATGTTCATCTTTAAGAATTCTTAAAAGTCAGTCTGTACAATATGTCATCCATTAACTAGTGATTTCCTACTGTACTTTTTTTCTGAAATTCTGTATAACTTGTACCCTTTTTCTGCTTTTTTTTCTTTTTCTCCTTAAATAAAATTTTAAAAAAAAGTCAGTCTGTACTGAAATGTGTATTATTACAGCTACTTTTTAAAAAGACATTCTTATGTATGATACTGCAACTTTAAAAAAACACATAACTAAATATTTTCTTCTGAATTTCCTTGTATTGTCAAAAGATAATGACATTTTGTTCAAAAGGTAAATGAAGCATACCATTTATAGAATAAAAAGGTTATTACACAAGGGGAGGGTTAAATACAGCACATTAGTTGGCCCTCCAATTTATAACAAAATTTCTACATTTACAAAAATTCAGCTACTTTAGTTCGTAACATTTCATAAAGTAGGTTACACTTCAATTTCACAAAATATAGCAAAATTGCAAAATAAGCATTCATTCAACGAACACTAAATACCTAATTTGTATCAGGCACTGTTCTAGCCCAAAGGAAAGAGTTGTGAACAGAGACAAAAATAAGCTCAAAGAACATGAAGACACACCACGAAGATGCACAAGGAAAAATAAAGTGAAATTATCTGTTGGCCTTAAGAGGCCAGGTGCCAAGTATCTCTTTACTCCCCGTGTGTAATATTCTACATAAGAAAAAGAATGGAAATCCAGCCCTGGAATCTCTTACCTTAAATCTAAGCAACCACTTAATGCATAAATGGAGCAAATAAAGAGGTAAGGAAAAAAAGCATTGAAAGGTTAGTTGGAACTCTAGGATGTGAAGAGAAAGGAAAAAAACAAAGAAAAAACAAGTTAAGCATTCAGCATTAACAAAATAATGTTTCAGTAGATCACAGAAAGAGTGATTAAAGCAGAATGTGTCATGAGTAGGAGTTTCTTTGATGAAACTATTGAAGACATTGTTCTATTCAAAAAATTTCATTAATGATTTCTTCAAATTAGGAACCCTTAAACAATAATGCACAAATAATGAAGGGACTAGAGAGTCCTACAGGAATAACATTTTACTCTGAAGATAGAGCTGTAGAAGGTGATCTTTTTATTACATTAACAGCCAAGCACAGAAGTGATTTTTTAAAAATATTCCTCATGTCTTTTGGCATTAGATTCTGATAGTACCTAAAACAGTCTATTAACAGCTCTTGGCCTTGAATAAATTTTCCCAAGTTAAAATAAACTTCAGTTATCAAGTAACTATCAAGTTACATATCCTACTTTAACATGTTCTAATTAAACAATCCAAAAGCATATAAAATTAAACACCTAAGTCCAGCTAATAAAGCTTACATCAAAACTCTGAGGGAAGAAAAAAAGTTTAAAAGTATATTTATACTCTGTATTTTCTTATTATTTTGAGCTACATTAAATTTAGGTTTAATTGATTTCTGGCTTAAACAGTCTAGGTATATTTTTTATTTAAATAGACATACTAGAAAAAAATCAACTGCATACAATTTTACCACAGACATATGTATGTATCTATTCAAAGTCACAATTTGTAAGGCACTGTCTTTCAAAGCAGATGAGTATTTTAAATAACTTATTACTTAGCTGAGGCTCTAAATCATTTTAAGTACCGACACAAATGTAAATGAAATGCCCATATCCCTCAGTCATGGCTGGGGTGTCTGCTGGTCCTTGTTTTGCTATTTTTAGTACGGAGGAGGAAACCCAGAGCGGGCCTGTACTTGCAAAGAACCCACCTCACCAGCAGGGGCTGGCAACCTCAGCCCGCTGAGCTCTGTGGCTGCCGTTTCACAGACACACTAGGCACTCACAAGCGGCCAAACGTACAGGTTACACACTCAAAACAGCACAAACAGTAATTTATACATTACTGTCCTTTTATTGCTCTATTCTCGCCTTAAACAAAGAGATTATTCTAGGAAAAAATCAAAGTACATGTTTAGTCTATTAATATAGTGTTTCAAAAACCAATCCAAAAGGCTGCTGATAAATTGTTGAGATAAGATAAACATTTTAATAACATGCTGAATAATTTCAGTCATATTAACCATTAAAAGATTATAAAAATCATACCATTTTATACATTCTATACATAGAATTATCATAAATGATCAAGCAAATGCAATTATTTGAAGACTTTTCAAAACTTAAGAACAGGGCCAGAGATATAGCTCAAGAGGCGCTGCATCTGCCTGGCAAGCACAAGGTCAATGCCCAGTACAAAAAAAAAAACCTTAAGAACAGACAGCACTAAGAAAAAGCAAAAGATATTTTTAAAGTTATAGGAATAAAGAATCTTCACCAACACAACTAGACCAGAACTTGGTCCTCTAAGAAAGACAAGAGCTTACTTTCTAAAGAGTTCCATTACGAACTATTATTTTTAAAAGCTTGAAAAAACTATACCTACCTTTACCCCATGTCCAATGTCATCTAGAATTGTATAGTCAATAGGTTTTCTAATATAACGAACTGGTCGTTCAAGGTTGGCTGGAGCAATAATCTTGTGTGTCCTTGAAGTGTTTTTATTGGTAGTTAAAATACCAATTTCTCTTCTCGCAACTTTCTCTTTATGAATATCAACTGTCTGCAAGATACAATATTTTAAAGAAGACAATACAAAAATATATGCTCCAGTATCCAGAAAAATCAAAATATAAATGGCCAGAGATTTAGCATTGCTGTTCATATTCACTTGCTCATTTTCTCCTTTCTGGACAACCAACTTTTTACATTGTAGATCAACACAAGGCCAGCAAACTATGGCCCCACAGGTCACATACAGCCCACCATCTGTGTTTAGAAACCACAAGCTATGAGTGTATTTACATTTTTAATGGCTGAGGAAACCAGAAAAAAAAGTCATGATACGTCAAAATTACATGAAATTCAAATTTCAAACTATTACAACATACCCATGCTGCTCACATGCTTACTTGTCTATGGGTGATTTTTATACTGCAACAGCAGAGACAGAGTCATCATTGAGAATTTATGACCCACAAAGTCCAAAACATTAACTGGTCCCTGCATGGAAACTCACCAACCTCCAGCTCAAAGCATGCTAGTATTTACTCTCCAGTAAAATGTAGCTTCATTCAATGATTAAGGAAGCCCCAATGATTAATCTGATATTTTAAAAGTTCTATTAATGTTTAAACATCTTTTAAGAAGGGGGAGCTAAAATATAATGTTAAAAATGATTGTAAGTTTGACAGAAAACCTGTATTGCGCAAAGCTGCTTTTACTTGATTATGACACAATCCTTTCCAAACATCTTCTTAATTTACTTAGGTTGATTAAACAATCACATCGGGTCTAATGTAGTTCAAATGACTTGTACTTTTACATAGGCTATTTGCTAACAAAGACTTTCTCAGGTGATTAGTAACTGTTTTGTCATACTTTAAACCACAAGTTGCAGCTCAGGGGTTAAGCAGAGATTATTTCAAATGAAACAGAAGACTTCAAGCACACACAGTAACCACTGTTTCTTGAAACACATTTGTTTTATATATAAGTACATACATGAATTAGGTACTGGTTGCAACACAAAATGTATGCTTCCTTGTGGAATGCAAGGAAAACACTCAAAGTGGCCACATATTCTACCACCATTCCTGGGTTAAGCAAATTGATAACAGACACTTTTTTTTCCAACCGAACTCCTCAGTCCTGCACTTCAACTTCCCCTCTCTAAAAGTAGTAGCTAACAGCAATAAAGACATAAGTGTCTGACATTATTAACTACTACTGGAAGAATCTCTGCGTTGATGATTCACTCTTCTAAATCTCCTACTGCAGTGGTGGCAAACTACTAAAACCCATTAAGTTACTGCAAGTACAGGTTCATCAGTGATAGTTAGGAAGAATTTAATAGAAAATCATTTCAAATGTATCCCAAGTTTCTAAAGTCACGAATTACGGGTTTGGCAGTAAAATTGCTCTCGCGGGGGTGTGGCTCAAGCCTATAATCCCAGCACTCGGGAGGCTGAGGCAGAAAGATGTTGTGAGTTTGAGACCAGCCTGGGCTACAAAGTGAGCTCAAGGCCTGCCCGAACTGCACAGAGACCCTGTCTCAAAAAGTCAAAAAAATAAAAATTTTAAAAAAAAAGTTGCTCTCACATAGAGGCGGCCTCCAGGACAGCACTGCGTGCAGCAAGGAAACACGGAGCAGCAGAGACCACGGACACCGCCCACGACCACCAAGCCCACTGCCAGCAGCGCGGGGACAACCGTCGCCGCGCTCACAGTTCCTTACCTCTATCGCCAGGCTGGCCGTGCATGCAACAGGCTCCCCTGTGACAGGGCAGCGCAAACTCTGGCCCGCCTGGAGGCCCTTGGACTAACCCCTGGAGCTCCTCGAAAGCCCCAGCACCGCTCCACACTTCCCTCATGAGGCCAGCATGTGCTTGGGCCACAGCACGCGACAGGCAGGGCCAAGGACAGACGTCGCTGTGGCTCAGTCTTGCGCTGCCTGCTGTTCCCCACAGGCACAGCACTGCCTCCCTCCGCTGCCCCGCTGGTGTGGGAACCTCCGCGACCCTCGGTTAGGGGGATTCACTCAGCCAGGCTGGGCGTTCCCAGACAGAGCTCTGATGTCTCACCAGTAAGCTGTTTCAATTAAATATTTTGTTAAATTACAAAAATGTGCTTCAAATAATGCATCTTTCATAAGACAAGTCGCTTACTAAACCCAGGGTAGGTAAAGTTTTAGCTCTTCATTTTATATAGCGATATAAAAACTACACAAAGAAAATTAGGAAGTACATAAATTCCCTATTCTATGTATAATTGCATATGATTAACTGGGATATCTCCTTAAAGACAATTTTGTAGCAAAACTCTCTATATAAAGCTTTATATATAAAGTTTTAAATAAATAATCTCACAGAAGCGAAAACTGAGGACCCAAAAGCCAAATGTAATACAAGGCAGTGAAAAAGCCAGCACAAAATCTAGATCCTAACTCTCAATTCTATTCACTTTGACATTCACTACAATGGAGAAAAAAGCAAGAGCACTGGGAAGCTGAACCGTGCTTTGGTTCTTGGGAAAAAAAACAGGAAAACACACACTAACGGAAAATAACCCCAGCACTCCAGACAGCTAATGCCCGCTGGTCCAGAAACAGCGGAGCTTCGCAGGGCCCAGAAGCCCACTGTCATCACAGTTCACAGGCAAACTCATCCTTGACTTGACTGAGTCTCCGTTTCTTCATTTCAACTCAATCGTTTCTGCACATTCTAAGAACATAGTATTCTGTCCAAGCTGCATGAACCTCTGGACTCAAGAACCCTCTGACAGGGCTGGGGATTTAGCTCAGTGGCATAAGCACCTACCTGAATTCCATCCCCAGTACCAAAAAAAAGACCCCTCTGACTGCCTCTAAAACCAGGTCTTAATAATAATAATACAGATAATAAAACTTAGAATTCAAATAGTTGAAGCAGGGCATGACGGCCACAGTTACCTGGGAGGCTGAGGAAGAGGCTCACAAGTATGAGCTCAGCACGGACAAGACCCTACTTTCAAATAATAGTCCCAAAGGGCTGGTAGAGTAGCTCCCTGATACAGCACTTGCCTAGCAATGTGCAACACCTTGGATTCCACTCCCCAAAAAGGAATCATTGTCTCTTTAAAAAACAAACAAACAAAAAAAAAACATTTAGGACCACAGGCTGGTAAAATGTGGCTACACACTTAGTTTGACCCACAAACTGTTTTATATACCCATAGCTTAGAATGAAAACATAACACTGAAGTCTTGCATGTTTCACAAAACCTGAAATATGTACCATCTTCCCCTTTATAGAAACAGTTTGCCATTCCCTGTTTCAGAGTATTTCCTAAGTATTAGCTTTCAAGGCAGAAACCACTTTCTTTTACTCTATAGAATAAACTTCCAGTGGCTGGCTAGCATGTGTGAGTTCCTGGGTTCAATCCCTAGCACCCACACCAAAATGAAACAAAAAACAATCATCTTCAGGGGCTGGGGATTTAGCTCAGCGGCATAAGCGCCTGCCTTACAAGAAGGCAGTCGTGAGTTCAATCCCCAGTACCAGTAAAAATGAAAAAGACAAAAAAAAAAAAACTAAACAGCATCTAATAGTCTTCAAAGTCAACTGAATTTTTCAACAAAGAATTCAATTTGTGCACTTAAACATAATTTTTTAAAAATTTCAATCCTTAACACAAGGTACATAACAAAAATATAAACGTTTTAATTTTCTTGTTTCTTAGTAAAAAAGTCAGGTAGTGATAAAAGAGATTTTCTATTTTTATTTCTATATTTTTGTGAGCATGACTTTTTTTTTAAGGCTAGTCAAGTGAAGCAGTGGGAGTAGAGAAGGAACAAAGAAATCTGTAACTGGTTGTGATCAATTAGTTGTAAACACCACTGCACTCGGACCAGCCGAGCATGACTTTTCTTATAAAAAGGTTTCAAGACACTGTAACAAAGTTTGTTAGTATTTCTGCTAGTCTTAGTATTTCCATTACTGTAAGTATGACTGATATCACCCCAGTAAACACAAATTGTAGCAACAGAAAATTTTAAATAAGCCACCATTCCTGTTTCTAAAAATGATAAAATGTAAAATCTGGTATAAATTAGAAGAAATAGGACAAATTATCACTAGGGCTATGTTACCATGGCAACTTAAATGTAATAGAATATATTAACATTTACTTGCTCTTAAGTCATAAATATGATACCATAAAAAGACAGACACACAAAAAACTCTGAATATTAGTTTGTATTTTTCAAGCCACATATGAACATAAACTCACATAATAAAGATTATAACATAGCAAGATAAGCTTTATTAAATATTCCTCTCAGGAAAGTAGAAAAAGCATGGTCTCACTTGTGAAATGTGATTGATTGAAGACTCCATCCTTCGTAATTGTGACGCCTGGATATCCAGCATCTGCAGGACATTGTTGGCCAAGGTGTTTATCAGGTAGGCAACGCTCGCCAATGACTGGGTGGTGTAGGCTTTGGTTTCCTCTAGGGCTCGCTGTTTATCTGCTGACTAGAGGAAAAAACAAACCAGTGATCATTACTTCAACGATAAACCATTTCTAACCAACTAACCAACAAACCATTCTGCTGCCAAATCTACACCCGGATAAAAATGTTCTGGGGGCTCAGGATTTAGCTCAGTGGCATAAGCACCTGCCTTGCAAACACATGGTCGTGAATTTGATCCCCAGTACTAATTTAAAAAGAAAAAAAACAGTTCTGAAAACTACTTGACAATCACATAAAGTAAACTACTGCCCCAGGTTCACTGATATTTTTATGTCATATCTTTGGGTCAGGCATGCAGCTTAGCGGTATAAGTGCCTGCCAAGTGTGAAGTCCTGAGTTTGATTCCGAGTACCCCTCCCAAAAAAATAGACACATCTTTATAAAAAATGCAAATAAAACCTTGAAGCTGTTATTTAAAAAATGAGATCCAATGGTCATTTCAAGCAATGACAGAAAATATGTACATTCTTAAAATCACTGCTTGGAAAGTAGCACTGATCTGAATGTACAAACTCTGGCATATATTATTGTATTTTCCTGAATTCCTTTCCTTCCATTCATATATTAAATGTGACTACAATGTAGTTATGTGTCTGATTAAAGCATTAACCATAAAATAATGATAAATAAAAAGGATTAATAACAGAAATGGTAAATTTAAAATAATGAAAGTGCTCTAAATGCTTTAAAGCCCTTTAATGTTAACAACCCTATGCAATACAAACTACCAAAGATCATAAACTTCATTTGAAAAAGAGAAGCTACACAGCAAAAAAAGCATGATTATTTTTAAGATCTGCCAAACAAAGCAATATTACATATTTTATGTTGCCAACTGCCAAATCCCATGTCCTGCCCTGGTTCTGTACAGATTCTGTGGCTGAGCTAAAGTGCCAGCATCTCTGAACCAGATAGCGTTTCTGTGAACACTAGCACTGTCGTTTACTGAGGTTTTTTTGTTTTGTTTTCGTTTTTCTGTGGTGCTGGGAATTGAACTCATGATCCTGCACTTACAAGGCAGGCACTTATGTAACTGAGCTAAATGCCTGGCCCAGCACTGTGGTTTACTACACGACATCAACTGGGACAACAGTTTCTCAGTTTCCTCAATGACAAACAGAAGACATAAAACCCTGATTCAACCGCTCTGAGAAGCTAACATCAAATAAGACAATGAATACAAAATTGTTTTCTAACAGAAATCACTAAAACAAGCACCTGTTGTGTCTGTGGGTAGTAGTCAACTGTCAAAAATCCACTTCTGTCCCAAACTTGTTTTTTCCACACAGTCTAGAACCACGACCAATAACTCTAGATTACAAATGTTTCTGAAGATAAAAGGAAAGAAAGGAAGCGAATTTTTTTGACACAGTTAACAAAATAACCAAGTAATATCATTTCTTACTTGGGAAGAGTTAAGAATCACTATCTTAGACTTTTGGGGGAGTGCTACTGGGTATCAAATCCAGAAGTTCTGCATGCAGTGAGCTACACATCATAGACAGAGAGAAAAATAATTTTTTAAAACATGTCTCACTAAGTTGCCCAGGCTAGACTCAAATTTGTGGCTCATCCTCTCAAGACTGCTGGGATTTCAAGTGTGCACCAATTGTATCTTCTCCATTCTAATCCTTAGAAATTCGAATTATGCAAGCTTGAAATATCAAGAAGATATGTACATACAAAACACATTAAAGCCCAATGCGTCATAATAGGTACTAATAAAAATATTTATAATCACTTAATTAAAAAAAGCAGTAATGATATCAATCTTGGCTCAAACTAAAGACGTTTTGAAAACGTAGAGTGCTACTCAGAAAGCCGGCTGAACAGAGGCCAAGCGCATTTCCCTCCACTACAAAGGACCGAATAAGGGAGAAGAAAAAGACAACCATCAGCCACAGTAGAGCATCTGAAGCAGAGCAAGAGATGGTGCCAGAAAGCTACAGATGCAGACACACGGAACCAGCACTAGACACCCACTGTTCCTTCTCTCAAAATCAACCCTAAATCCATAGGGACTCTGCTGGTCAGGGAAAGGGAAGCAGGTAGCCTTCAGCAGCGCCCATTCCTCCCCCCACCTCAGACCAGGAAGTGTCCAGGGAGCTCCCAGAACCCAGCAGCAGAGTGGCAACCTAACATGAACAGGCTCCCAGTCAGTGCACTGGTGCAACCTGGCTGTGTGGATTTTGAAACCAACAGACAACTGCTAGAGATACCATACTACGCATGTCTGGGCCCATAAGGGTCCCCCCAGAGCAGCCTAGAGCCACATGAACCTGAAAGGACAGGATGCTCCACACTCACCACCAGGCCCAAGACCCCGAGCTAACAGTGGACTCACCCCATTTCAGGGAGCCACAACCCAGCAGGCAGTGCAATCCCATCAACCCTGCATCACCCAGGTGGATTCAAGAAGCAAAGCCGCAGAGACACAACTGGACCTCCCAAGGCACTAATGCCAACGCAGCACTTCCAACCATCGCTCCACACACAGCCACACACAGTCCTTCACTGCAAAGCCAGCCCACAGCAACCAGAGCCCAGAAGAAACATAAGACACCAATGCAGAGATTTAAAAACCTGAGAAAATAAGGGAACAAGAGGCCCTCATAGGAACACACATTGCAACCACAGCCCAGGAGAAACACAAGATACCAATGCAGAGATTTAAAAACCTGGAAAAAATAAGGGAACAGGAGGCCCCCACAGGAACACACTTTGCAGTAACTGGCTCCAAAGAGCAAGGAATCTGTGAACAGTACCATGAAGAACTTACAAACAGAGTAGTTTTGCTAGGTGTGCTGGTACACACCTGTAACCCAGTTCCTGAAGCCAGTCTGGGCAGAGGTTACAAGGTGAGTACAAAGCCAGTCTTCCTGGACTACACTGCAAGACCTTGTCTCAAAAAAAAAAAAAAAAGAAAGAAAGAAAACTAATGACTTTAATGACAAATAAGTCACTAAAATTGGGAACATAATTCGTGCTATGAATGAGAAATTCAGTAAACAGGCAGCAATCATAAAAAAAGAAATAAAAAAGTATTCCTGGTTATCAAAAAAAATTAATTTCGGAGGGGTAGGGGATTTAGCTCAGGAGCATAAGCGCCTGCCTAGCAAGCACGAGGCTGTGAGTTCAATCTCTGGTACAAAAAAAAAAAATTATTTTTTTAAAAACCAATTAGAAATCACGGATCAGCCAGTCATGACAGCACATACCTGTAATCTTAACACTTGGTAGGCTGAGCCTGGACGACTGCTTACTTTGTATCAAAGTGAGTTCAAGGCCAGCCTGACTGTACAATGAAATCCTGTCTCAAAATGACCAAAAAATAAAAAAAATCACAGAACTATAGCAGGTATGAGGTGCACACCTATAATCCCAGCACTTGGGAGACTGAGGCAGGAGGACTGTTATGAGTTCCAGGTAACCCTGACTACATAGTAAGTTCAAGACCAGTCTGAACTGAATAGCAAGATCCTGTCTCAAAATACCAAGGAAGGAAGGAAGGAAGCTCAGAAAATGAAATAAAAAAATATAATAGAGAGCAAGAACAGAATTGATCGAGCAGAAAAAAGACCTGGAAGACAGAACTTTTCAAATTAACTGAGATTAAAAAAAAAACTTTTTTAAAGGAATAAAAACAAAGGAGATCATCAACTTAGAATTCAACATAATACAGTGTGAGGAGACCCAAAGAGAGGGAGATGAATGCTCTCATCCCAAGAAGAAACTAAGATGAGAAGAACCAATTAAACATACAGTCCCAGTGCTATTATTGGAACAGCTAAAAGTTCAGTGCTCCTACCACAGCAGGCAACTTGTTGAGCCATCCAAGGTCCCGCCGCTTGGACTCACTGGAGGCACAGTCACACTGAGGTCGGGGTCAGCCAGCCAAACGGAGAGCTGAGCTGGTGGGAAGCCTGCATCAACCTGTGGTGAATGACGGGAATGGAGCCATTCCACAGAAAGCAAGACTCCAGCGGACGACATTCTGGGACCGGGCAAGTACAAAGGGCAGCAGTGACTTCAGTCAGTTGTCCCCTTCCCAAATGGGATTGGTAGAGAGCTAGGCCTGGGTCACACAACCTGGCTGAAACCCAATAGGTTATCCAAAATCAATTCCCTATGGCGGCAGCACACACTAAGACAGTGAAGCCTCAGAAATTTGACTGACCCGGAGGGGAGGCGGTGCATAGTAATACAGTGCAGGTCTCAGCAGCTTGACTGATCTGGAGAGGAGGGGGCAGCACATGGGAAGGGTCACCTAGCCAGTGTGCTTCAGAAGAATTATAACCAACGAAGAAAGAAACGGGGGCCTCCTGGAAGAAACAAAAAAGATGGGAAGAGGAAGCAACAACAAAAAGTCCCCCGGTTCCAACCCTGAGAACATTGACCTAGGCCAGGTAAATACCAAAGAGAATGAGAACAGCAAACATGCAATATCAGACATGGCACCAGTGGACATAAAGAGATATCTTCAGGACCTCATAGACGAGTTCAAAGGGGAAATATTTAGCCAAGTAAAGCAAGATATAAGAAGATTAATAAAAGCGATGCTAAGCACCCCTCAAGCAGACAAAGACAGAAGAAAGGAGGAACTCAAACAAAGGAGAGAACCATTTGATGAAGAATATAAAGAAAATATGGAATACATGAAGCAGATTCAAAGAGATTGCCAGAAAATTAAAAACTCTTTGGAAAGATGGCAAATCTGCTTGAAAGAAACTAAGGATAGATTATCCAAACTGGAGGACAGCTTTGCAATGTGGGATTATGAAAGGGAAAACTTTTTTAAAATAACAAGGAAAGAAGCAGTAATAATACAAAGGCTAGAAGATGACAAAGAGGATCTACAACTTAGCTCAGCGGCATAAGCACTTGCCTTGCAAACAGGCAGTCATGAGTTCAATCCCCAGTACCAATAAAAAAGAAAAAAGACCAAAAAAAAAAAAAAAAAGAATGTGAATGAAGAAGCAGGGGTCCAAACAAAGCAATTAC